TCCAGGAAAGGACCATTTGGATGCTTGATTTATTTGGCAAAGTGTTTTGTAAATGACAAGAAAGCAAAACTAGATTCAACCCTGACTGCCCAATAACTGAAAGCCATCAAGCTGAACAACTCGCTGGCAGTAAATCAGAGTTAGGCCTTGATCTTGCAATGTGACTTGCAGAATCATGTCTGTGCCAGCTCCACACAGCCTTCCAGCTCTGCAGAGGCTCACCCATGAAAGAAATACCAGAGAAGTCGATGAGTTACAGCTTTTAAGTGAGTAAACTTACCGAAGCTGCAAAGTAGTAGGCGTAGCTGCAAAAACCAAAAGAGGAGAAGCATTTCACAAGACAAGTGAAAGCACTATTTCTGAAAATGCTACATTTGACTACATATTCAAAATTGACTTTAAAAAAAAACACAACCCCCCCAACAAAGACAAGACACAGTGAAAGTAAACAGGATCTTCAAATGTAATAGATAGCTTACACCACAGAAAAACCCGTAATAGATAGCTTACACCACAGAAAAACCCAGATAACTTGGATACAAAAGGAAGTGCTGGGAAATGGTGCAAACACATTCAAATAGGCTTTGCAGGCCTAATGCTGCAGCAGCAGAGCCTAAGTGGCACAGGCCTGGGAGTGCAGTGCAACAGCTTCAGCCTGGATATCTTGCTCTGAGCAAGAGTTAATGAGCCTTGACAAAGATGATTCTACGTGGGTGCTTCTTTCCACACCAGTTTGAGGGCTTGGTTCCACCGACAGTACAAAAACACCTGCACAGAGCTGATGCTTAGCTGCAGCAGCTTGTTAACGTGGGTGGACACAGTCCTGCACAGATTTGGTTCCATTACTTACCTGAGCTAACTCTATATGCAGCAGAAATAATTCTGCATGATGGCAAACCTGAGCTCATACATCCTGCTGGATATGGCCAATTCCCCACAAAGCAAGGTATCATCCTGTGTGATTCATCTTACAAGCAAAATAAACTGCCCAGAAATAACTGTGTGCCAGCTGAACCCTATGGAAGACCAGCATCAAAACATAATGAACCCTACATAATTAACCATATGAGCATCATCTCTCAGCTGCAAAGTTACCATACAGGTTCTCTGAGCACTCCTGTTATTCCTCCTGTTATTCCTGTGCAGCGCTGCCAGACTAAGGGTTTACATGAAAGCAAGCATGGGTTCGAGCTGTACCAAAGGACCTGGCTACTTGAAGGCTGACCAAAGATCAGCTACACTCACATGATTCTGAAATGAACATCCTAATTGGTGTGGCAATTGTGTCACTGACGGGGGACAGGAATAGCTGTTAGTACTAAAATGCAGGAGCTGGAAAGGCACTGCTGAGCTGATTGAAGACTTGCCCTGGAGGTAGGTACATAAGACCAAGCTGTCCTGAAAACTTGGGGCTCCATCTCCCATATGGAGATTTGGGAAAGAATTTACCAGGAAAGCCACACCAGTATTTTATCGTGCTCTTGTTGCTGTCTCTCCATTCTGAACCCCATTGGGAACATGACCCAGAATTGGTTCCATTAAGCCTTGAACAGAATTCAGCTGCACCTTTCTGAAACAATCCATCAACCCTCCAGCTGAGGTCAGCCTGAAGGTTGCTGGTCTGGCTTGTGGAAATGGCTGTCACTTCTAACGGGGACTGTCACACTCACCCCGAGAGTACAGCACGCTGTCCCAAGCAATCCACCGACATCGCAGTTGCCTGTTAAGGAAAAACACAGAACAAAACCAAATAATACCTGTCAGCTCAGCTGCTCAGTCAAAACACATGGCTTTAGGGAGGAATTCAGGAAAGTAACATCCCCTTAAAGTACAGAGGGGCAATGGGCATAGTGTTTGATTTTGGGATGCAGGACAGCACACAGAAACATCTTTCTAGCATAAACTGAAGACAAAACCTGGCAGACAACATCATGAGCACTAAGACCTTGCTCCCTTCTTCCTGCTACGGCAATCACAGCTGCAACCTTTCAATCAGCAGTCTCTAATAATCTGTATTAATCAGCCTCTGCTCCTGCTCAGGAACTTTCTCAGTCTCTCTCTTTCATTGCAGGGCCAGATTTAATTATATATGTACTGGGAGATAGAAGTGCAACCATTTGTGTATGGCTGGTCTCCAAAAATGAGAGATGGCCAAGAGGCATCAGAATTTACTTTGGCATTGCTTGTAAAGAAGGCTATGAGATAACTTAAAGGCCATTAGGAAAAAAAAAAA